CCGCCCACCCTCCACCTTGCCAGCAGGAAGACTGGCTGGTGCTGCAGCTGCACTGGGTTCCCTGCTGCATGGGGGGGAGGGGACTGAGCTCTCCACCCCAACTCCCCCCGAAGAACAAGAGTGTGCTCCCTGGAGGCTTTCCCTGCTGCAGCAGGGTGCTAAGCCAGGTAAACGTCCCCCCTCATGCCCAGACCCTGCATCCAAACCCCCCTCACTCCCCTCCTCCTGCCAAGATCCCGCATTCCCAGCTTGCTCTGACACCCTGCCCCAAGTCGCCTCCTCTATCCTCCCTCCTGATCCCGTGTTTTTTTTTTTTCTTTGTTTTGATTGACACATTTTTCCTGGGGGTTCCCCATAAAAAAATATTGTTTGGTGTTCCTCAGTCTTAAAAAGTTTAAGAAACACTGCATTACACCTTAACAGCAGCTCCTGCCACTTCGGCTCTTCAACATTGGCTGGGTTTCTTCCGGTGGCAGCACCAATCCATTTTGACCCTGCACCCTTAAAAAGGGGCATGGAGCACCAACTATTGTGAATGAATTTGTGAGTTGCTAAAGGGCATCATAGTACCACTCAATCAAATGGTGTGGCTGCATACCCTGCCCACCATCATGATGGAGGGGTTGCTCAGTCCAACACAAGTGGCACTGCAACCCCAGAAATCACAACACCAGGAGTGAAGAACTGAACCCAGCCAGCCCCTTTGGAGTAAATCACTAAGAAATCTCTATCCCTAGAGGTTTGTAAGTCTCAGCTTGACAAAGCCCTGCCTGGGATGAGTAAACTGGGATTGGTCCTGCTTTGGGCAGGGGGTTGGACTCAATGACCTTCTGAGTCTATGACCATATGACTTCAGCCTTTTGGTTCATGAGCCACAGACTGAGAAACCCTGATCTATTTTGACATTAGCATAACACTAATGAAACTTCATCTAGTAACTCCACTTGTTCCTGAGAATTTAACCAATTTATTCTAATTTCTCCTATCAGCCATAATTATTGAAGGGACTACAGGCTGAAGAGATTTTTGTTAATAGGATCAAGTTCATGACACGGTAATCACAGATGTGACAAGAACACTTAGGAATGCAAGTGTCGTGCTCACACTGCAGATCCCCATTCCAACAGAGAAGAACTTTTACAACAAACCCCCCCACCAAACAAAACCGCCTGGAGAGGAAATCATCTGGCACCTCGAGGGATGCTAGATACTGGCTAATTGAATAGTCATGTATCTGCATGAAATCTTAGTGGTTTCACCACTATTCTATAGTCCCTGAGAGGTAGGGCTGGCAGCCAGTGCGCTTCAGCCCCACTCTCAGGGAGGCCCAACATGCTGCACTGCTGCTCCCTGTGGACAGAGGCTAGTCCACAACAGCAGTCCCTGTCTGTGGCAGGCCCAGGCTCACTGGATAGAGGCTGTTCAGTGGGAGGCCAGAGCAGCATCTCTCTGCAGGGAGCTCGGACCACCCGGCAGACATGGTCTGCTGCTCCTGACCAGGCTCTGTCCACAGCGAGCCCAGGCCGCTGTGGACACACG